GTCGCGAGCGATCACCGACGAGCCGAGCGAGCCTCCGGCGCCCGCCGCGGCGCCCTTCCCGCGCGAGGTGAGGCCGGCGGCGTGGGCCGCCTCGAGACGGTTGCGCTCCTCCTGCCGCTTCTGCTTCGCGCGCGCCTCGCCCCGCTTCCCGGCCGCGGCCTCGAACGGGTCGGTCGAGCCGTCCTCGCCCGGCTTCGCAGGGACGAGCCACGTCTTGAGCGGGTCGTCCTGCTTGTTGGCGCGGCCAAAGCCGTACCGCGGGGCCCACTGGCCGGCGGCCTCGTCCCACACCATCTTGGACCGCTTCTTCTTGACGATGCCCTTCTCCGCCGCGAACTTCTCCCAGCGCGTCTGCGGCCGCGGCTTTGGCAGCGGCTTCTCGCGCGGCAGCTGCGTCGTGGGCGGGGGAAGGCGGATGACCGCCTTGCTCTCCTGCGACGCGAGGATCGCGTACAGCCGGTTCGCCATCAGCTGCGCGTTGTCGCGCGCCGTTTCGAGCAGGTGCGCCTCGGCGTCCGCCGAGAGCGCCTCAGCAGAGAGCGGCGCAGGGTCAAAGGCGGCAAGGTGCGCCAGGTCGTACTCGAGGTCGTCCTCCTTTTCCACCTCGATGGACGGCCGCCCGCTGCTCGCCGCACGCTGCGCCAGGAGTTGCGCCACGTCGAGCCGGCCGTCACTAGAGGAGCCGGCGGTCGCCATGGAGCCGCGTGCCCAGAGTCACACGGAAAAAAATTAACCGGGGTAGTACAGGTACCCCAAGACTGCGAAGAGAGATAGGAAGAGGCCGACGCCCAAGGGTGGGCGACGGCTAGCGCACCACACCCCTCTCCTTAAAATCCCTGTGTGGTGGCGGCGTGCCGTCCTCCCATCCCTCCCTTGGATTGTCCGTTTTCTTTCTTTCTTTCTTTACTGATTCTTTACTCTGTGGGGGCAGTGTGTATTCTGGAGTAGAAAGAGAAAGAAAACGTGTTCATTATAGCTCCGAGTAGAGGGGGCGGTCTGCTGAGGGGAAACCCTGGTGATCTCGCCTCAGTCGCAAGGCCCTGGCCCAATCGCACTCAGTAAGATGTCTGCCAACTTTCAACCCGCCGGCCGATGGGGTGAAGCAATGGGAAACGGCCGACGAAAGCAGGGGTGCGCTCTCTTTGGGATTGTTCCCCCTCCCCCTGCTCTCAGAAAACTCTTACTCACCTCCCGCCGACCCCGCTCCACACACA